GAGCTTGTTCCAAGCAATGGTGATGATCAGGCTAGCTTCCTCAAGTCCCCAGGAAGCTAATGCAATGATTAGCTTGAGTAATGGATGGCTAGAAAGGTCTGGAGAAGTCCAGTTGCAGACCTATGTTTTTGGTTATGGAGGATGATGAAGATGGATTTATAGTTTCAAACCAAGGACAGGGATGAACTATATTTGATGTAAGGAAGCTTTAGAAATGAATTTGAGGGAAAACGCACGAGGGAAATGAAAGATACAAGTTCAAGGGCAGAACTGTGTATCAATGGTGTTTTTTGAGAAATATTTGGTTTATGAGTGTTTGAGGGAGTTTCAGGGTCTTAGCATTCGTGTATTATGTTGCAATATACTTGTGTATATGTATGGAAAAGGTTAGAGATCAAATGCACTCAAGGTTTCTAAGTTCTAGCCTTTTGGCTCTATAACTTGCTTTTGAAGAAAAGTGAGAAAACAAGTCTCAAAGTGTTGTACAAGCATGGTCTGAGTTGGTTGAGGCCTTAGACATGTTGCTTTGGTTTTGACTTTGCTTGTTTGCATAGTAAACAATTTAGAGGCTCAAGAAGTTGACAATTGCAAAAGTAATGCTTTATCAAAATGGAAATGGCAACTTTGTGTCATAAATGGAAATGTAACTTGGATAAAGGCTCAAGTGCTTGGATTAAAGCTCTAACAGTTGTGTAAACATTTAATTATGGAGTGAAAAACAAGTTTGAGGCCTTCAATGCAAATATTATGCAGCCTATGCTTGGATTTGAATTCTTGTTCATCATGAAATGGCTTGTAATTTAAGTTTGAAAACCCTAACTTCCTCTCTTCGATTCTCCCTACTCAAGAATGATCTCAAGGAGTTATTTTACATTTTGGAAAGCTTGTAGTGTTCTCTATAACCCATCTTTGAAAAAAGTTCCATGAAGTTAGGTCACTAAATGTTCAATTTCAAGACCATGACTTTATGAATTAATAACTTGAGATCTAAGAACTTTTAAAAGAAGTTTTGTAAAGCAATGTTGTAGATATCCTGGAGATATACAACTTTCATGTTGAATGTTTCTTTTGAATCATCTTGCATCATGGTGAAAAATTGGCTCAAAGTTGTGAAAAAACATGAAGTTTTAAACACTTAGAAAAATTTCTAAGTTAGAAAACTTTGACTTTTCAAAATGAAATCTTGACTTTTTGATTTCTTGATGAATAATTTTCATATTTTGACATGTTTTGATGAATTGTGATCTTTGACATTGGATTTTGACCAAAAAGTCAAAATTTGACTTTTCAGTATACAGTTGACTTTTGATCAGTTGGCTGAAAATTCAATATCAATCCAATTGATCTTGAGAAATGTTTTGGGTCATGCCATTAGGTCAAAATGATGCAATTTAACTCTTGAGATCACGCTTCAAACCAATTGAACATTTGCTAGGTCAAAAATCAGAAATTGCCTTTCCTTAATCAAAACCCTAATTTTGACCATTTTGCCCTTTTATGATTTGATCAAATTTTTTGAGGAATTATGGTCCAAACTTGATCAAATGATACATATGAGTTTATAATGTTGATGTGGATAAAAATTATGAAGTTTGACTGTAAATTGGCCACAGTTGACTTTTTCCCCAATACAGTTGATTTTTAGGTCAACTGCTCAATTGACTGAGCAAAAGTGTGATCCAAGGCTTAAAACTTGACATGAGTAATCTTGGGGGTCCAAAATGATCCATGAAAGTCACATGAAGCATTTAAAGTTCAATTATCCTTGTGCAATCTCAAACCCTAATTTTGGTCATCAGTGCTTAAGGAGGTGTCTTGAGTTGATCAACCCTAGTGCAGTCTTGAACCAAGAGAGATCTTTGTGAGAAAATATTTGATAAATGAGAGGGAAAATTTTGGGGTACAACACCCTATTACTTCATAGACTGTGTAGCAATATATTTATAACGGCCCATAAATGAGGTGGAATATGACATGTCCTCTTTAGGCGCACGCCTTAGAACATTTCGCTTGAGGGGAAACTTGTATTAAGGACAAAGCTTTTCTTTTAAGACTACATATGGTTCTATCTTTCTTTCTTCAATTAGTCCACCTTTTAGTGATTATAGTAAATCTTGTTTTATAGTGCTTAGAATGTCTCTTTTATATTGAGTTATTTTTTCTAATGGCATTCGATCATAAAATCCATTGACAGTTGCATAAATTACTAGAATTTATTTTTTAATTGGTAGTGGTGCATATTGTGGTTGTTTTAGTACTTCTGCAAGCCTTGCACCTCTATTGAGTAATGCCTGAGTCGTAACATCAAGGTCTGATCCAAATTGAGAAAAGTCGGCTACTTCATGGTAATGTGTCAATTCTAGTTTTAAACTACCACATACTTGTTTCATAGCTTTCATTTGAGCGGCAGAATCGACACAACTGACATATAAGTCGACATTATTAATAGGTCTAATTTTGCGATAAAAGAGCTCTGTTTCCAAATAGATTTATCCATCCATAATGGATATAACATTGATAGGAATATAGGCTGACACGTCTCCAACTTGTGTTTCAATGATAGGTAAGGTGGTCAGGCTAGCAACATCTGTCTTATCCGACCGTTTTGTGGTTATTTCTAATAGACGGGAATGTAAACAAAAAACTTCGCCTGGGAAAGCCTCACAGCCTGGTGGTCGACATAACAATAATGACATTTATCGATATGCCACAACTTATTTACTAAGATCATCATAGATTATTAATACGTGCATTCCATTATCACGGAAATATTCTTCCATGGCACACCCAGAAGTCCTGGTCATGATTCCCTAAGAAGTAAGTCGTCAATAACTTTCATAGTCAAGGTGGAGTGGTTGTCATTCCTTAAAAGCCCATAGATACAGACTCATACGCCTCTATAAATACCTCAACTCAAAGGGTTAGGAGAATATTTCGAATACATCACGAAACACCCTAAAATACAGAGCTTCTCACCCTTGTGAGCTGGCTCTCTCTCCACGTCAAATACACATTCAAAGCAGAGCCTCTCACCAACGTGAGTTTGCCCTTAACCGCGAAAAATTATTAAAGCCTCTAGCCACCTCTACCAGATTTTAGGTAATCATATTTTTTAAATATAAAGAATTAAGATTTTTTTTTAAAAATATTTATATTTTATTTAGATATTTTATCTCTTTAATTTAGTTAATAATGCCAAATCAGTAGAAGAGAATAAACTACCAGAGAAGGGGGTGGGGGTGGGGGGGACATCAACCAATACCCCCTCATAAATGTCTTATTCTAAAGCAAGTGAAGTCTTGCTTCACTCTCAAGAAATCACTTTATATGTTCTCAATAATATAATTGAACGAAGTGAAATCCTTTATTACTAGGCCTATAGAAGTTAACTTATTAGCACAAGAATTGTCTAACTTATAGATGCGAGACACAATAAAGTTTATGGACTTTGTTAAAAATATACAATTGAGCCATCTAACTAAAAATAATAAATCAAATGAACCAAATGTTTTTCCAATCTTTGTTCTAATTTATCTCAATAGCAAGCATTGCTCCAATATATTTAGTATTGAGGACATAAACTTTACTAATGTATATTAATTAATTAAACTTGTAAAAAAACAAATATTTTTTATTCAAATAATTGATTAAACTTGTAAAAAAACTAAATTATATTTATTTTTCAAATAATTAATTTTAATAAATCCAGCCATCTATCATTAAATTGAAATATCAAATGATTTTTATTAATTAATCATATGATTTGATAATCTTAATACATAAAAGTTGAATAATAAAAAAATTGATTAAATGCACTTTTCACTCTTTAATGTTAGCGAGATTTCGTTTACCCCATTAATAATTTTTTCTTATCCCCACTTTTAATGTAAATATTTCATATGTTTGGCCCCTAGTGACACTTGGCATACAAAATCTTTCATTTTTAATGACTTGGCAGGTGTTGGCTGGTCTAGCTGGGAATAATGTCTGATATGTTGTTGTCCACTCCCTATAAAAATTAGGGTTACATTTTCATTCCCAAATCAAACATTATAGACAAAGACATTATTGGAGAAGACAAAGACGAAGGTATGAGAACAAAGCTTTAAAGAACTAAGCACGTTGAAGGAGTACACCATTGGAGGGTCTGTCGAAGCTTTTATTTAAGCAAACAGGTTAAAATCTTAGTTTCTAATGTCTCGGGTTAAACTTTTCAAATTCTCTTGTGTAGTGATGGTAATGTTGTAATGTTGAATATGCAAATTACTTTAATAGAACATGCAAGTCTTTAATGTTATTTTTCACTATGGAGGTGAATTTGTAAGGAACAATGAGCACGGGTTATTCTACAGAGGTGGGGTTCAATCCTTAGTTTTTGGGCAGGACATTGAGAATTGGACTATTTATGAAGTTAAAAAATCGGTGAAGGGATGGGGTTATAAAGTAGGAACCTATAGAGCTTGGACTAAAATAGTAGAAATACATCCAATTTTTTTCCATATAAGAAATGATGATAATGCATATGATTTTGCTGCATATGCTTGTGCAAAATAAGTTGATGGCTACATTTATTTGGAGCATGATGTGACTGCTATAAAACTGAGAGTGAGGGAACCTAAGCTTATTAATGAAATGACAAATATGGAAACAATTGATTATGAGGGTGTTGAAGGCTTTGATGATAGTGAGGATGAAAGAACAACTTATATTACAAGTGGATTTGATTTTACCTAACCCCTAAATGAATGTAAAGAAGTTGCAGGATTAATTTGAAGTTACAAAAAGAAAATGGAAGATGATAAATATGTTAGTGATGAACTGGACAACTCAGATCCAGATCAGTCTAATGATGAGAAAGATAAAGGTCCTAAGTTTGAAAATTTTAGGAAAGAGAAACTTAATAAGGACTACCAGTTTAAGTCGTGCATGTAATTTAAATCTCTAGTTGACTTTAGAGATGTAATACGTGAGTGGTCAGTGATGGTAGGGAAATTACCTTTATGAAAAATGAGAGTTATATGGTAAGGGTAGAATGCAAGGCTAAATGTGTTTTTTTAGTTCTATGCTCCAAAGTTGGCTATCAATATACTTATGCTATAAAGACATTGGTGGATACCCACACATGTGATAGGGCATTGAACAATAGATCCGCAAACTCAAAGTGGGTGGCCAAGGGAGTAGTGAACAAAATGCAAACTCAAATTGATACGGTTAAAATTTGTGACATTATGCAAGATATGAGACAACACTATTATGCGGGGATCACTGTTACTAGAGCATGGAAGGCAAAGTTGATTGCCAAGAATATTATTGAAGGAGATGCTGATAAGCAATATGCAAATTTATGGAGGAATGTTGCTGAGTTCAGAAAGGTTAATATTGGGAATATTATGAAGATCAATGTTGACAGGCCAAATCCATCAATATAACCAAGGTTTGGATCTTTCTACTTTTGTTTTTATAGTTGTAAGAATGGTTTCATACAAGGTTATAGACCACTTATTGGAGTTGATGGCTGTCATTTGAAGACAAAGTATGGTGGACAACTTCTAACAGTTGTGGGTAAGGACCCCAAAGACCAGTATTTTTCTCTGGTATTTAGGATTGTTGAAACTGAAATAAAGGAAAGTTTTGGATGTGGTTTATACAATTATTAATGGAAGATAATGGAAAAGATATAAGATATATTTTCATCTCAGATCAGCAAAAGGTATGTATTTTTTAGTTTATTGAAGTTGACTATTTGTTCATTTCATCTTAGGTCAACAAAATGTATGGTTGTTTGTTTTTGCTTTTGACAGGGATAAGTGGTTGTGTTTAATAAAATGTTTGAGATAATTGAGCATAGGTTATACCTCATACACTTGTAAGCAAATTTTAAGAAAACGTTTGGAGGTGGCTCACTTATAAGGGATTTGATGATGGGAGTCACCAATGCAACTTACTATCAAGCTTGGTTGCAAAAAAAGAATGAAATGAAACAATTGGACTTTAGTTCTTGGACATGGATGATGGGAGTTCCTACCAAATGTTGGCGTAAGCATGCATTTAGTTTTTACCTAAATTAGGGAGTATGGTGAATATGATATTATGACAAGAAGAATATGTGTGTCTTATAAATGTACCAAATGTGATAAATTTGGGCACAATGCATTGTCATGCAAGAGCATGACTCAAGGTACAAATTACTTGAAAATAAAGGTAACTAAACTTATTCTAATATTGTACATGATTTAACTTAAAAGTGAACCAGTAGCTCAACCAAGTCAAACAAATGCAACACAAGCTGCTCATGACGAATCAACTCAAGTTCATGCTACTTAATCTGGATCAACCCAAATTCATGCTACTTAACCTGAATCAACTCAAGTTGTTGCTACTCAACCTGAATCAACTCAAGTTACTGCTACTCAACCTGAATTAACTCAAATTACTACTACTCAACATGAAGTTACACAAGCTGATGTATTTCACACTGACATTAAGACACATGCTAAAAACATATTGTGAAGATTAGAAAAAGGGTTTCACAAAGATTGAAGCTGAAGTAGTTTCAAAAACCAATTATAGGTCCCGATTCAAATTCTGGCCAACCCATCATTTTGACTGAAAATGATACAAGTACATGTATTCAAGAATCATCTGCAAAGGCTTCTAACTCAAAGCATGGAAAATGTCACAAATGCAAGAAATCTAGAGGCAACAAGTGAAATGCACTCTGTCATATTTTATGTACTTTATGCTTCATTTTGTAATGCACTATATGTTGTTTCATTTTGTAATGCACTATGTTGTTTCATTTTGTAATGCACTCTCATGTTTTATTTTTTAATGACATGTGCACTTTATGTGCCATTTTGTAATCTACTTTGATGTTTCAATTTGTAATTACTTTGCTGGTTTTTTATGGAATTTTCTATTATTCTGCAATATTTATGTGCCATTTTCAAAATTGGAAATATCATTCTTGATAGATCAAAATGACTTTAGAACCATCATGTTGATATTTCAATTTGGCTGAATGATAGTATTCATAGTGAACAGACAAAGTAACCAATACCAACTTTAACCGCTCAATATCAAGTAACCATTTTGTCATCCAATCAAAATTAGAAATAACAAATACCAATTTTTTTATTAATAAACAAGCCATTGATACATTTTCATACATAACTTCAGAATACCTAATTATAAACTACATATTACATGGATACGTAAACAATTGCAAACATAATCCAAGACACCATAAGTGCAACCACATTAAACAATGAACTTTGTTCTTCGTTTGAAGCTTCTTCTTTGTCTTTTCAAGCTTGTTTCAACTGATTTGGAAATCATATTCCTTTCCAAATTCCTTCCAAACTTCCTTGCCAGTGTCCTTCCCAAATTCCCTTAAATAAGCCATTGTTGCAAAAAAATTTATTTCCATTCCTACCATGAGCGTGACTAAGTCCAACTTCATCATTTTAGAAAAATAGGTCACACCTTTCCACACTCTATACAGAAAACTAAGATTACAAACTGAAATTTCCTAGAAAAGTGATTGAACAATTTAGAAATGTTCTACCCCAGCATTTCAAAATGTTCTACCCCAGCATTTTATCACCCAATCAAAATTAGAAATAACAAATACCAATTTTTTTATTAATAAACAAGCCATTGATACATTGTCATACATAACTTCAGAATACCTAATTATAAACTACATATTACATGGATATGTAAACAATGGCAAACATAATCCAAGACACCATAAGTGCAACCATTAAACAATGAATTTTGTTCTTCGTTTGAAGCTTCTTCTTTGTCTTTTCAAGCTTGTTTCAACTGAGTTGGACATCATATTCCTTGCCAAATTCCTTCCAAACTTCCTTGCCTATGTCCTTCCCAAATTCCCTTAAATAAGCCATTATTGCAATTTTTATTTCCATTCCTACCATGAGCGTGACTAAGTCCAACTTCATCATTTTAGAAAAATAGGTCACACCTTTCCACACTCTATACAGAAAACCAAGATTACAAACTGAAATTTCCTAGAAAAGTGATTGAACAATTTAGAAATGTTCTACCCCAGCATTTCGACATCTCCATAATTTTTTATTGAGATTTTCGGCTGTTTTTGTGATTCATTGCTTGATCAGATCCACACTTGGGTAGATGCAAACCATTTGATGATGTTTTTATACCACCCATTTGGATGAAGAAGTATTCGAAGGGGGTGGAGGGAAATGAAATCACAAATAGATTGGAGAAGCATATAAGAATTCGATTGGGATGGATATAATGAATGCATAAATTGATTAGAGCGGTAGAGTAGAATTTAATTGGGTGGACGTCATGATGCTATGGTTTATTGATTATGCAATTAAATTGAATTAAAAATAAATAAAGAAAAATTTAATTGAAACAAAAATCCCAGCTAGACCAACCAACACCTGCCAAGTCATTAAAAATAAAAGATTTTGTGTGCCAAGTGTCACTGGGGGGCCAAACATACAAAGTCTTTACACTAAAGAGGGGATAAAAAAATTATTACGGTGAGAGGGGGGTAAACGGAATCTCGCTAACATTAAAGGGGTGAAAAGTGTATTTAACCCTAAAAAAAATTCAAGCATTTGCCATTTCATTTGGAGGCATTTCCATATTTTCTTATGGCGTAAAGTAGGGATGTCAATTTGCATCTAATAATGGAGATCTTGATGGATATTATTCCATTTGGACTCCAAATTTGGTGAATTTTTCCTATAGGGACAAGGATGGAGAACAAAATCCCCCTGTTGCACCCCAAAATTTGCCCTCTCATTTCTCAAAAGATTATCTTGGACCCTCAGGTCTGCTTCTGGCAAATTTCAAGTCTCAAATTACAATTTTCCAAGAAAGTCATTCACAAGGACAAGATGGTCAAAAGCACACTGAAAAGTCAAACTTTGACTTTTGGATCAAAAATCAAGTTTCAACAATTATATTTCATCAAGACATGAAATTAGTTCATCAAAATCAGAAGTCAGAATTTGCTTTGAAAAAAATCAAATTTTCTAAACATTTAGAAAATTTTCTAAGTGTTAAGAGAATATGATACTTCAGAACTTCTGAGCCAGCCTCCATGCAAGTGCAGTCAGAATTCGAAAGCATGGTTCAGAACATGATTCTTCAAGCAGAACATTACTCTTCAGCATATCCTTCGATCAGAGCCTCACCCTTTGAATCTCACTCTGGCCTTCTGTGATAAGAAAATCACCAAATCCTAAAACCTCGTTTGAACAACCTGGTGCACTACTGTAGTAGAGTTCTGCCACAACATTCCAAGGTGTTGTTGACTCAGTCCACACCTGCGTTTTTCTCAAACCCCATAATTGCACCAAATTAGCATACAAAAATTGTGTTTAAAAAGCAATGGAACAGTATACCAAAAAGGTTTAAATCCCATTTGTTCCCCCCCCCCCCCAAAACCACAGCAAACTCACCTATAAATAAGTTGCTCCATCACACTTTCAAGGGGTTGCTTTTTAGAGAGAGAGAGAGAATTATCAAAAGAGAGAAAAGAAAACTGTGAAACTTTTTCCAAATTCCAGAATTCCCAAATAGAAAAGCAAACCTTTGTTCTTCCCTTTGGAAAAAAACATAATATTTTCTTTTCCTTTGCTCTCGCTGACTCCAGAACATCTGAAGTCAGCAACTCAAGTTCTAAGCACACACTTCAGATTCAAGGTAAGTCTTTCTGACTTTGTATATTTTCATTCAGAACATCCTTAAATATGTAAATATCATAGTATTGATGCCGGTCATATCATTGCATAAGTAGAAGAAACTATGGATCAGAACTTCTTGAATAAAGCTAGGCTCAGAGTTAGAATTAGAACTTCTATAAACTGATGTGCTTTTATCCTTTTGGTTTGCTGTTAAGAAATGAATAAATTGCTGAGGTGTTGATTAATATGAGGAAAGAGTTGAAATGTAACATAAAACTTTTGGGTTCTCTTCATTGTTTTAACACGAAAAACTTCTAGGATCTCTTATTATTTTAACACAGAACTTCTAATTTTTACTCACTGTTTAACACAACACAGAACTTCAGATTTCCACTCATTGTTTAGCACAACACAGAACTTCTGAGTTCTTCTCGCTGTTTTAACACACCAGAATTCCTAGGTTTTTACACTGTTATGACACGATAACAGAAGTTCAGACTTTTACTCACTGCTTACACAACACAGAACTTCTGACTTTTAACCCACTATTTAACACGACACAGAACTTCTGACATTTTTCTCACTGTCCAAACACCACCCAGAACCTTTGTTTCCTTTCCCTCTAACATTTCTTGCAGGACCTCAGAGTGTATCAATCCAGAACTTCTGATTCCCATTGACGTTTCTTTCTGAACCACAGCGCGCCCGACATCAGAATTTCTGATCCCCTTTGTTTTGCT